CAGATTACGTATTTCCTCAAGGTCTTTGGGCATCACTACTATCATGTTTAGAAAAGGGATAATTAATATTCCATGAGGTACCGGTATTTAGGTAATTTAAACTCGTTAACTAAGCATCTTTTTCAACATTCGCCGCTCCACTAATATCACTTTATACGTAATCAAACACTGTGTAACCTAAATAAAGGTTCTTATTTGAAAATAATCTTTGTGAAATGATGACTGGTCAGAAACTAAAACTACAACCCAAACAAGAGGGTACTGGGTACGAACACACTTTTTTTCTTTTTATAGCAAACACAAGAACGAGACATCGGATTTGACCTCCCAATGTTGACTAGACGGGGAAATGATTTATACATCCCATCAGCATGGGACTGACCGTCGGACAGGAGAGTGGAACTGACCATATTTTTATGCCCCGGTCAACTCTTACGATACTGAAGAGACACTCAGAAACGTAAACCAAAGACTATAAAACATTACAAAGAAAATATTGAGCTTCATGGACCACACAGACGACTGAAAACCAGAATGAACTGTCACAGCAGTGGCGGATCCAGAGGGGGGCGTAGAGGGCGTACGCCCCCCCCCCTTTGCTTGCACTTTTTTTTTGTCAAATGATTAATCAGACTAGACTTCGCGAACTTTGCCATTTCCCGTGTATTTAATTTTTATGCGGCAATTCTTTACTTATAAAGATATGCTTCGCTCGTATTTACTGTAATATATTATTGATTATGTCAAAGTCATGTGATTCGCTACGGTGGAGTTGACAAGTACGTCGAAAAAAAACGTCACTCAGTCATTTTGAAATTCAAATTACAGTAACACATTGCTTCGGCTGAGGATGACAAGCATGACGCCTTCAAAGCGACAAAGTATTGAGCAAGAACGTATTGACTTCTATTTCACAATTCCACCCAACAGAAAGTAATACTCTATTACACTCTCATGAAAAAAAAAAATTCCACAGCAATATTATTTACCTACGAAAACATGTTTAACCCCGCACGCCTAGCCCATTAATAACATTTCTGAATAGTGATCCCCAGTCAGTAAGCTCTAGATATAGATTTAAAGTCTAAGGTACGGACCATTTGATTTGAGGGGGCAGTCTGAGATATTTTAGAGAAAAAATTCTGACCCTGATTTTTGCCTTAAACAAAAATTCTGGCCGTATCTGGATTGAAAACAATAATCTTGTCCACTTTTTTGCTATTAGAAAAAAGTATTTTCAACAAAATTATTTAGCATTAAATGAACATGATGAATAAAAAACGGGCGTAATTATTTTTTGGGGGGTTGCATGTGAATCCCATATCTGACCGGAATGTCTGTTTCGCCGAACTGATATACTGAATACTTTTTACAAGGCCCGACAGCAACCTGCCTGCTGGGTGTGGCCTATATGTCTCCATGTGTCGACCGTCATTCACAAATTCATTGTCATTTCCGACTCATTCGCAGCCTTTGGTTGATTTGGAACCCCTCACTTCCTTTGTTGGTTGAAACATTTCAACCAAACATTTGGATAAAAATTGCTTGTTTGTCTTTCTTCGTGTCGGTCGTATTGTAAATTTCATTGAATAGCCGTATATCTTGTTTACAACAAGAAATCTGTGAGGTTATGCTAACTAACCATACAACAAACGAAAATTTTCCATGTCCATTTTTTACTGACAAATCCCACATCAAATATATTAATTAGTACATAGCTTTGGATCCATCCAATCATTTTATAATAGACAATTAATGGAGAGAATACGGCACCAAAAATGTCCAACCCCTACACTTTAACTTTAAAATGCATTTTACACTTATTTTATGTTTTTTAGCCAAAAAAAGGTCCAAAAAAATTTTCGCCTCGCTTCTCTCGGCGAACTTTAATACTACACCCCCCCCCCTCTCCAAAGTCCTGGATCCGCCCCTGCACAGTGTGTTTTGAATGGGTTGAGTATGTTGACCATCAATGTCACCCGCCTTACATACATGTATTTGTCACCTCTCCTTGAAATAAAACTTTATAAGGAAAATAATAGAAGCTACAGTACCAAAATGTAACGCATGCAAAGGAAATGCATTGTCATATAATGGGTATCAATGAACACGACACATGTTGTGGAGTAAAATTCATCAAGCAAGATTATCAAGCAACTGCTGGAAATTAAAATATATGGGAAATCAAATAAACAATTACGTTAATAAAAACTTATTAAGCATACAAATAAGAAGATGTAGTAAAGATGTGGTATGATTCCCAATGAAACAACTCTCCACCAGAGACCAAATGACGTATAGACGTATAGATTCTGAAGTTAGAACTATACATACAGGTCACCGCACGGCTTCAACAATGATAAAAACGGATGTACTTTAACCAACACTTATTTTGGCATGTGACAATTCCACTGTTCGAATTTGGTGTCTCTTAACGAGCGATAGATGGTTTATTTATCTTTATTTAATTTCTGATGTAAGTGTAAAAATGGAAAACATCACGTTAAATAATTTTATGCGTCTGAAGCGCTTTTCTGGATTTACCTTCATCAGGAACGCTTAAAGCCAAACATTTGAAATCCGAGGGATGTATAAGTACCGAAACAGTTGAAGAGCTATATGACAAAAACACCTAAAATAAATAGCTAAATTCATCTAAGGTCAACTTTGCCTGAGGGAGTTGAAACCTAAGTTTTTTTATAATTTCAAAATTTATTAACGGACAATTTAGAATGGTTTGTTATAAATCATGTCAGTACCGAAGTACTGACTACTGAGTTGATGATACCCTCGGGGACTGATAGTCCACCAGCAGAGGTATCGACCCAGTGATGTAAAAATGGAAAACAACACGTTAAATAATTTTATGCGTCCGAAGCGCTTTTCGTATGAAAAATCAAATAGTGAAAATATTTGTAATATTTGCGTTGTTGACTTGCCGTCTAATTTTAATGTAGCCAAGATTTTGTTCTTTTTTTCTTTTATGTCAATTACTATATTTTTAAGAGAAAAATAAGTGGTGCAAATTACATGTTTTCTTTGTAAGGTCTACATGAAATGTTAGAGGACGGCAATATGATGAAATCAGAAGTCGTATATATCTGATAGGAAACCTCAATTCAACCAGCAACATTCATATGAAACACGGTACATAAAACTAGAAATAAATGAATATGAACCCAACTAAAACAACTAATAGATATATGAGTAAAACGGCAATATGTGTGTCAAACATGTTCTTTAAGGTGTACGAAAATTCATTTTGTAAAATCAAGATTACTATGAATTACTGAATCTTTTCTCTTACTGTATAACTGAATCATTACGGAATTTTTATATTTCAAAGAAAAAATATATAGAAAATATTTGAACTTAAATTACAACTTACTGAAATTACTAGTTTTGTATTACTTTTGAGAAATCGCTAACTAAACCCCTCTATTACGACTATAAGAATTTTTTCAAAACATGATTTTGATAACATGTAACTTTTTAAGAATACAAACAATATTTTCACTATTTGATTGGCTAAATATTTGCTAAAAAAATTAGAGCAAAAGTTTCTAACAAAATTAATATATAGTATTGGTAATATTTTCTTTTTTAAGTCCAGTACTTTTCTTTTGATTACATATTTCTGTAATGTCAATTACATTGAGTTGTCTGTCTTAATAGTTCGAATTTAGGAATCTTCAATTTATTAAAAAAAAAAAACATCAATCCTAAAACTGTTTTATGGTGATATCTTGACGATACAGTATTCATTGTGTGTATGATCTTTCTTGGTTCGAAAAGCAAATTTCCTTGGGCGGTTTTCTGCTCTTTGGTCGGGTTGTTGTCTCGATCTAGCTCTTTGACACATTTCTCGTTTCCATTCTCAATTTTGTTTTACCATTGTACAGGATAAAATACATGTATCGTGTGATCCGCGATCAACCATCCATTACCCATAAAAGAACAAAAAGAAACAGTTAGTATGCTACTCCGTCAATATATACACATGTTGTCTGTTCAAAATTCCCCTCTAAAAAATATTAATGTGCCAAGTCCACGATCATATATTCGTGCATCAAGTGACGCCATGTCCCGCGCGCGGATCTTATTTTAGATTCAAAATATTTCCCAAACTATATATAGATCTCAAACTTGACGGGATAATTGCATTTTTTTTCCACGAGAAGAAAAAGGGGGGAGAGATTCGAAGGCATGGAAGTTCTGGCATATATAGATGTGCCATTTGACTTTGGTATATTCAAAATTTTTGCTGCTACTGTGACAATTCCCAGTACGCGGTGACATCATCCGCTATTGCTTGCAATCGCAATTCTAGTTGAAATGTGATGTTATAAAATTTTGCTCCTGCTTTAGTTTTCAGTGTTGTTCTTGTGCTTTTTAATTTCTCAATGTCTGTGTTGTTTCTATCGGTAACAGTCTTGTTTATTACATATCGTTGTTCCATTTCAAAATTTTTCATTCGGTCAAGTTTTAGAGTAAGCAACTTTATATGACCAATGGTGTACGAATTTGGCGATGTCTTAGGGTTAGATAAGTGTCACTATTGCGTTATGCCTTATTATTTGATATAGCTGATCAGAATATTTTATAGGAGTAACACGACGGGTGTCACATATGGAGCAGGTTCTGCTTACCCTTCTGGAGCACCTGAGGTCAACTCCAGTTATTGTTGGGGGTTTGTGTTGCTCAGTCTCTTGCGTTCGGTGTTGTGTGTTGTATTTTGTTGTTTGTCTTTTTGGTGATTTTAAATGCCATGGAGTTGTCAGTTTGTCATCGACTTATGAGTTTGAATATCCATTTAGTATCTGCCGACTCTCTTTTGTGAATCGTTTTGAATTGAGAAATATATCTCCCTCATGTATAGCTCCGATTCATTGTCAGTGTTTAGCTTTTCTTTTGATCCTTTGGGTTTTATCAGTTCTTCCACGTTTGTATCAAGTTTGGATATTCAAATATTTTATCTTTGAGCAATACTGATGTCGAGAAACGTTAGACAATATATATTTGTACATATATTTAAATATACAGTTTAACAAATAATATTATTGCTTTTCTTTAAACTCTGATCAATGCAGAACTCATCATAATTTTTAGTCACCTATATATTGCTGAAAACTTTGCAATGTTTATAAATGTACGGTATTATTCAGTGAAACTCTTTAATGTCACCATGGCCGAAATAAATTCTTTGGCCACTCTCGTCGTTTTGTACTGTCACATGTTTTTCTTATAAATGTTATTACCGTGTAATCTGAATTCAATGTTTGATCTTTTGCTGTCTGAAGTTCCTTAATAAAGTTCTCCCCCTTTTCTTTGATTACATAAGCACAAGTTGGTGAAAGAGATGCGTGCATACTCCAAGGACTTTGATCACCTGGTATTCCGTAAAATCTCACACTACATTGAAAACATTGAACAATGTTTTCGAGTCCAATGTAATAAAATCCTGCTTCAGCTACCCCATATATGTCAATGTCAGTTTGACCATTTTTACTTTCATAGGACTCGAAAGTTTTTATTCGGATATCAAGTTCTTGAAATTTTTCTTTTACTGCTTCTGCAATTTTCGACTTTTCATCGATACCCTTAAACTTTGCTATTGCTTCTGTGATTTCTTCGTCTGTTAAATTACTTTTAGCATAACTGCATGTTGGGTATCTGGCTGCATGTGCAACTAGAGGAAGTCCTTGTTGACGAATATTTGTCAATACACATCCACAATGAAAGCAACGCCCTGATTCACCAAATCCCGCGTAAAAGAAGCCTGCGGTGCTCATACTTTGAACAGATTCAAAATTTTCATCTTTCCATGTCTGTGGATACGAATCAATTCTATCTTCTACATTTTCAAATTGTGGTATAATCGGTTCTTTAATTGATTCTATAAATGTATTCATCAAAGTATAAGAAATACAAGGATAAATGTCAGAGAGAAATTGTTGTTCTTCCGCTTGGAATTTTCCTTTCACGGTACATGCGACCGACCAATCACATCTTGCTAAAGCTATTGATGTGTCAATTACAGAAGCAGCAAAGGCACCAATATCTTCCTTGGCAGATGTAAGGGCTTTTTGACGTTCTTTCTGGTTTACAATAATAATAACTGACGAATTTATGTTACGTAAAAAGCGGAATTCTTCTATCACCCTTGATGTCTTGTATACATGATGACGATCTTGATGTTTCAAATACTCGTCTAAATCAATTTGCAAACATAGTTTGTCAGCAACCACTAGAACTCCTAAAATATCTGTCTGCATATGTTGAACACATAAACCTTGAAACATAAGACTGTCTATTACATTCCCTTTGCTCAATATTTGTGTATAGCTTGGTAAAACTAATGTCAGTTCAGCCACTAAATCATCGAGCCACGACTCTGAATCTGTTTTTATAACTATTGTTTGCTGTAGAAGTTTGAGTCCATCTATCACAGGTATATCATATGGTATGAATACTGTTATTATGTTTTCTTTTGTTATTCCGAAAATAACCATAGACATAATGTACTGAAGTCCTTTATTTCCTGAGGAAGAATGTGAGAAGAGGAATACAGCTTTCTTTACAACTGGAGCTAAATTCATAAATACCTGAAGTATCTGTTCACCGGGGGTTTCATACAGTCCATGGCAAAGTATGTTATTGTCCGTAAGTTTCTCTCGAATAATATTGCACGTCTCCTCATCGGCTGGGTCATTAATGAGCAAAACAACTTCTGACGAAGAACATTCTACTTTTTCCAGTTCCATGTTTTGTATAAACTGTTGCTTAGTAATACAATTGTTACTTGAAAGTATTATGATACTTCCGTTTTTCCCTTTTGAACGACTGGAATATAAAATAATTAAATGTTTTAAAGTTTTTGAAATGCTGATAATCTGCTCCTCTTTCTATAAATCATAACAATTTTAAAGAGGATTAATACCTTGATTATAATCGAATGGGCTAGAAATTAACAACACTACTAGCTTTGTCTCCACAATACTCTTTAACTTCGTATTTTATTTGGCATTTGAGCTTTCTAGCGTCACTGATGAGTCTATTGTAGACGAAACGCGCGCCTGGTGTACAAAAAAAAAGTATAACAAAAATACCTACGGGAAGTCCATAAAAACTGACAAAATTAAACGTTATCAATAAACGGAACAAGTAAAAAACAACTGTCATATTCCGGACTTGGTACAGGCATTTTCCGACGGAAATGTTGGGTTAAACCTGGTTTTATAGCTAGCTAAATCTCCCACTTGTAGGACAGTTGTTTATAGTTCATAGTTGTTTATAGTTAAAATTATCAGCCTGGTTTGTTTGACGAGTTTTTATACAACCACTAGGTCAATGTCATTGTTGGTGGAGGTTTCCTCCCCGAGGGTATCACAAGCTCAGTAGTCAACACTTCTGATGGACATCAGTTATCATTTATATGGTAACATGTATAAATTAACTGTTTGAAATACTTTGAACTGATCGAAATACTAAGGATTTTCTACCCAAGAATAGATTACCTTAGCTTTATTTGGCAAAACCTTTCGGAATTTTGGTCCTCAATGCTCTTCAACTTCGTACTTAATTTAGCTATTTTTATTCGAGTATCACTGATGACTCTTGTGTAGACAAAACGCGTGTCTGGCGTAAAAAACAATCGTTTTTAGTATCAGATGTGTATGATGTAACAATAATGAATGTGATTCGCAATAGATCTAAGACAACAATTATTTTGACAGTGTCTTCTTTGTAAAGGTTATAAATTTACCTACTTAGACCTTTATCATTCAAATAAAATCAAATATATCTTCCAGCAAAATTCATCATCGCTTTCTCTCTTGGGAGCCATGTAAACATCCATCAAATTTGAGTCTTGCATAAATGCTGAAAACTAATTTATATCATACTTTCACTTTGACCAAAGCACTACTTTCACACTGGCCAAATCACTGTCTACAATTGAAAAAAAATCCATACTTTTTAATACATATTTCAATATGTTGTAACTTATTTGACCAACAAATAGTTTATTTACGTAAGTTTACTTCTCAAAGAAAGCAGTAGTGTGTACGACATATATATGTCATAACAAGCTAAAAAGTACAAAATATTGTCTTAAATTAAAATCTAAGTATTCTTTAGTCCACCATGGTCATGTTCCAAAAAACACTGGACCTGTAAAAATAGAAGTAGATGGCAACGATCAAATCTAAGTTCTGTAATTTGAAGAAAAATGGTGATATAATTATTTAATTTTAAAAGGGTTTGTTATTTTATTTTAAAAAAGATCTTTATATTTAATGATAGCAAATGAATATTTTCTAGAACAAATGGTCTTACAAGTAAAGCAAAAACACTTATGTTTTTATTGCAAAGGAGATTTTTGAATATATAAATTTCTTGCATACCCTTAAAACTTAATAAAGTATTACAAGTTAGCTACACACTAATATGTGACAGCGATATTTTCCTCTTTGTTTTATTTCGTGGAAATTCAAACTTTATCTAAAAGCAAGCGACTATTGTTCTCGAAATTGTTAGCTTACATGTTGAGAAGTTAATCCATTTTAATCCTAGCATTGTCCATTTCTTGTTATCATATATATGTTTTTTAATTGTATTATTTGTTTGAATCATTAAGTGACAAATTTCATTATTACATGTAGTTATGATTAAGTAAGATAACGTAATTCATGTTAAATCGTTTCTATATAAATGGTCAGTTGGATACCAGCGGTCAAGCTATACGGACGCCGTGCATTTACAGTGACATTCATCGTGTTTAGTATAGAACATTTATTGGAATTACCATTTGTTTTATCTTTTCGGAATATTACCGTTGAACTTTTATTGTAATTAATGTATTGCACTATTGGAGAAGTTATATATAAACCATCGTAAAGCTTAGCTTAGTTTTGTTGACTTTAGACAGTGACTTTCCCCCAGAATTCTAAATATAACAGGAACGACGAAAACCCCTGTTATAAATATCCCAAAATTGCTTGTGTGTGCATGATAAATGATTCAGGTCAACTCATTTGTGTAAAAACAAGTTGAAAACGCATCAATGAAGTATCATTATCGCTTTTAAGTCAGTCTGTAGTGAATCTTAACTAACCTTGTTTGATTATTTGCAGTGGAAATCTAATATGTCTAAAATTGGTCAAAATGTCACATTTAACTTATTTTTGCATGAATTTTGTTTTTTTTTCTCTGGAAAAGAACAATGACAAATGTATGAAGAAAATTTTGTCCTGCAAGACCTTTTATCCACAATATTTATGTTTTGGCTAATTTCATCTCCAAGGCCACATTTGTTTCGACAGGGCCTTCTTTGTAGAAGTCAAACTGAATTTCTAAAATAGTAAAAAATTGCAGTGGTTCAAACATGAAATATATTCACCTTTTTATAGAACATTTTCATTGTTAAAAAATATAGATACTCCAGCAAAATTCATCGCTGCTTTCTCAGAACCATGTAAACATATAGAGATCTAACGGAATGCCGAAGGCTAATTTCTATACTCTTCTTTCACGCTACTGTCACTTTCAACAATCCATTGTTTCCATATATTTTACTTTATTTCAATACAATTGTAACTCACAGGACCACTTACATAGTGTACTTTTCAAAAAAAAGTAGCGAAAAATATGCTATGGTCTCTTGTGAAGAGTTGTTTCATTGGCAATCATACCACATCTTCTTATTTTTAGCTCACCTTTCCGAAGAAAATGTGAGCTTTTGCAATCACTTGGCGTCCGTCGTCGCCCGTCGTCGTCCGTCGTCGTCGTCGTCCGTCCGGTGTAAACTATTTCAAACATCTTCTCCTCTGAAACTACTGAACCAATTCCAACCAAACTTAAGCTGAATGATCCTTAGGATATCTCGAATAAAGTTTGTGTTTTATTTTCTGTTTCGTCAAAAAACTTAACCGCCATGGCTAAAAATAGAACATAGGAGGTAAAATGCAGTTTTTGGCTTATATCTCAAAAACTAAAGCATTTAGAGCAAATCTGATATGAGGTAAAAATGTTCATTAGGTAAAGTTCTATCAGCCTTGAAATTTTCAGATGAATCTAATAACCCATTGTTGTGTTGCTGCCACTAAATTGGTAATTTTAAGGAAATTTTGCAGTTTTTGGTTTTTATCTTGAATATTTTTATAGATAAAGATAAACTGTAAACAGCATAAATGTTCAGCAAAGTAATTTCTACAAATAAGTTTAATGACCAAAATTGTCAATTGACCCCTTAAGGAGTTATTGCCCTTTAAGGACAATAATTTTACACAATTTGTTTATCCTGTTTTCTAACTTCCTCTGAAACTACGTACTGAACCAAATTAAACCAAACTTAAGTTGAATGATTCTTAGGTTATCTAGAATAAAGTTCGTGTTTTATTTTCTGTTTCCTCAGAAAACATGGTTGCCATGGCTAAAATAGAACATAGGGTAAAAGGAGTTATTGCCCTCTAAAGACAATTTTTTGCTTACTTTAAAAAATATTCTCCTTTGAAACTGCTGATTCAATTTCAGCCAAACTTGGGCTGAATGAGTTTCAGAGTATATAGTATGATTTTTTGTATTTTATTTCCTTGTACTTCAAGAAACATAGCCACTGTGGCTAAAATGAAACATAGGGGTAAAATGCATTTTTTTGCTTTTGAAGAAAATATGACAGATACAAAAAAACATTTACATGGCATTTTTAAGCCACTCATTAATATATATTGAAAAGCAAAAATAATCGTTGATGAAAGATTTAAGCAAAAAATTACAGGTGCGCCATTCAGGCTCTTGAGAGCCTCTTGTTATATTTACTGCAGGGTTTGTTACTCTTGCTGTGTGGATGCAGAAGAATGTTTCCCTGTGCCTGTAGTGTATGGCCTTATATTTTTACAGTTAGGGTGTTTTGCTTGTGAGAGAGCTGTCCACATATTCCATTATATCAACGTTGTATTTCTTCTACGTCTGTTTCTGTGTCAGTTGGTCTCTTGTGGCGAGTTGTCTCATTGGCAATCATACCATATCTTCTTATTTTTATATGTAATACTTTGGAGACTCGAAGACAATAAACAAAAGGTGGTCTGCATGATGTCATATTAAGCTACATGTGTAGTATTTGTTGGATAAACTTGTACAACTGTCAAGTAAATAAAATTGAGAATGGAAATGGGGAATGTGTCAAAGAGACAACAACCCGACCAAAGAGCAGAAAACAGCCCAAGGCCACCAATGGGTCTTCAACACAGCGGAGGCGGGCTTCAGCTGGCCCCTAAACAAAAATGTGTACTATTTCAGTGAAAATGGACGTCACACTAAAAATATAAACTCCGCAACATATAAATGAACTAAAATTAAAAAAAAAAACATAGAAGACTAACAAAGACTAGAAGCTCCTGACTTGGGACAGGCGCAAAAATGCTAAGCTGCTCAGTCAACTACCACGATTACGTCGATCGTTTTCAGGTGAACGTGAATCGGGTATTGCTTTCCTTTCCGGCATATCTGAGTTCAGCCCGGTGTTTTATTTAGAGGGTGTTACGCCGTATTTATATTTCAATGTTGCAGTGTTTTATTTAAAGGGTGTTACGTCGTATTTATATTTCTATGTTGCAGAGTTTTATTTAAAGGGTGTTACGCCGTATTTATATTTCAATGTTGCAGTGTTTTGTGGACTTCTGTTTGTTTTCTTGTCGTTTTTGTTTTGGCCAAGTTATGGTCTTCAACTTGTGTTATTTTTATCTGCCATTTTATTTCTTTTCCATTTATTACAGATGATAATAGACAATGATCAGTTTTTTTTTTTTTTAACACGCTGTTTTACTTGATGATTCATTATATGAACCAGCTAGGGAACAGTATAGTACGCGAGTTATATGCGCGAAGCAACCCACCTGTCACGATATATTTATCCATAGATGTATAAACCCATGATATAACACATGTACAGAAATTAAAGCATGAAAAATAAAATATTCAAATAACGTGTTAACATGGTTAACAATCATGAATTCTATCTACAAAAAAGATAAAACCATTACCTGCAGTTTCATTATTGTCGAAGTTTCTGACAACAATTGTTTAAAATAAATAACTTACGTTGATCCTAAGTATAAACGGTCGCTGTTTAGAAAAACACTATGATATGGATCATAACATTCAGTCTATTTTTAGTTTGAATTCAATATCATTTAAAGTTCATATCAATTATGATTATCTGTATTGTAATTTGAATATACGTTGGAATCTAAAACTAACTATTACGTTACAACTACTGTATAATGCTGGCGAGAAACCAAACATTGTCAGTGTTAGATTAATAGACTTGTAAGATTACATACATTTTTGTCATTCTATTGCTGATTTTCTTTTGTAGAAATTTGGCATCAAATTGTGGACGATATTTCTATCGTCACTTCGGAGTCTCTTTACATAAATTTGTTTGATATGAAAATACACATAAATCGTAAAAACACCAGAAAAATACATTTTAAGTGGTATGTGTAATCTATAAGGTTCTAAGTATATTAATAATCCGAATATAATTAAATTTAAGGAAGTAATGAATATGACAAAACAATCATATTTAAAAAAGCTATGTACATTTATAAGGCATATTAATTCATGTGTGTGTTCTCCTGGCTAAATTCAACTTAGATTTGTGAATAGTGTACATATTATGTTTATTTTAATTTATAACTGTACTATTTATTACATGTAACTTCTGTATACCATTGTATTGACGAAGGTTTGTCAGAATAAAGATATATATATATACTTACTTAATTACATAATTAAATGGAAAAGTGTATGGGGTATGTGCGTCATAAATAATTATAAATGGCTAGTCTAAATCAATTATCCCTTGTCTTGAATAGAATTATGTCTAGTCAAAATTCGAATAATGCCTATTCTAAAATATAATTATGTCTAGTCTTCAACAATTGTATCTAGTCTAAATAAATGACGTCTAGTCCTAATTGAATAATACTAGACTGAAATAGAATTAACACTAGACCAAATTATTTGTGACTATCATTCAATTCGACGTACAAGAACCACTATAAGCACCTCGGACTTAATGAAATGAGTAAAATTGTTGATTAAAGGTGTTCATGAATTAATTTGTGTCTTAGTAGAGATTGAAATAAACTAAAGGATTCATAAAATTAAGATTTAAAGGAGGAATAAGATCTTCACAAAAAAATGAGGAAACACCTACAAAACAAATGAACTAAGCATCACTGGATGCAGATATCGTCCTGTAGGTCATAGCATCAATGTCCTGGGTCTCTACAAGGCAACGGTACTGTAGTGGTGCCTTATTTAAAGCACCACCAAAAAGTAAACTAAGCAACACGGAATGCAGCAACCATTCAATAGGTCCAACAGGTAAGATTTAAGGTCTTGCTTACCCTACCGGGGTCTAATCTAGAGTCTAGGATTCGTTGGTCAACTAGATATAGTTGTCCGGTCTACAAGGCTATGTCTAGCTCTCTAATTATTGTGCCCAACATAAAGTATATATATATATAAGCACCACCAAAAATGAACAAAACACCATGGGCTGCAGTTATTTTTTCCCTCTTCCCTTTTCCCGTATTTTTTCGAGGGAAGGAGTGTTGGGCAGTTAATTGAAATTTTTACAAAACTTGGGTATAATTCAGGGTATGGTACTATGACAACACAGTTTTACACTAAAAGCCCGCCTGATATCAATTTCCAATTGCGGTAAGAATATGTTCCAAGCCAGTTTTAAGTATCCGTATGGAATTCTATTTTGAAGTTTTTATTTTTCTCATCCTCCAGGGTGTTCTTTCAATGCTATTATATTATTATCAATTGTATGTTTGTATGAATTATGATAGTATACTATACAAACTGAAACGGTCTGTAAAACAGGACATATAACTTCCACTTCCATTGTTTCTTACACTCAGCTATCTTTGTTGGTTGAAATAATTTTACAGTAATGATACATAAAAATAAGAAGATGTGGTATGATTGCCAATGAGACAACTCTCGACCAGAGACAAAATGACATAGAAGTTAACAACAATAGGTCACTGTACGGCCTTCAACAATGAGCAAAGCCCATACCGCATAGTCAGCTATAAAAGGCCCGGAAATGACAAATGTAAAACAATTCAAACGAGAAAACTAACGGCCTGATTTATGTACAAAACAATGAACGAAAAACAAATATGTTATACAGCAACAAACGACAACAACTGAATTACAGGCTCCTGACTTGAGACAAGCACATACAGAATGTTGCGGGGTTTAACTAGTATTATGGCGTTAAACCCTCCCCCTAACCTAGGACAGTGCTATAACAGTACAACATAAGAACACATTATAAAAATCAGCTGAAAAGCCGCTCAAACCGGTGCTAGGGGGAGTCTAAAACTAGTGTTTTTTTGTTTTGCTCCGTGTTGAAGGCCTAACTGTAACTTTGAGATGAAGAACAGCCATAAAAGCGCTGTTCCTTTGCCTTTTGTGTGTATTTTGCTGTGCATGTACTAATTTTTGTGTCATGGATGGATACCCCATATACTTTGTTTTTCTATCACATACACTTATTTTCCAATGAGGATTTACCCATATTTTTAATGTTCTATATCTTCTTGGTGCTAATTATATATAAATTAGGGATGACTAAAACTCTCCAGTAACTATTGTCTACACATAAACATCAATTTAATCTTACATAAAATCTTCAAGAATAAATAATCAGTTTTTCCTCTAAAGCTTTCTTCCCAACACTACAGAAAATGGAACATTTAATCGGTTCTTTAGCATTTCCGGCATGACATTAGATGACATAAACATTCAACCCTTATTGACATAACAAGTTCCTTGGTTAGAGTTGTTTTTTAAATGCAGGGAGAAATAATGAATAAAATATACTTCTTCGAAAAGCGATATCAGAACATCTTTCTCGACAACATCTTTTCCTTAATTGCTTGCCAGTACGAAAAACGTTGATTTTTTTAAATCGACCTCTAACAAAAAATCACGATCAAACCAGGGTAATGAACAACTTTAAAAAATAATATCATCATATTAATTGCACTATTTAGAAGATGCCCCACGTGTTGTAAACGAAGGAAATCCACCTTGAAGTGTCAGCCAAGCTAGTGTTTGCCTACCGTTAATCTTTGTAGCACCAATAACAACTTCCAGCAAGAACGTTTACAATAATTGATTATAACATTTTTTCCGTTTCTGTTTTGTGGAAGATTAATCAACAGAAGAATAGAGAATGCAAGATCGATTGGAAAACAAGATATGAGTAAACCAATGAGAGAAAATAATAAAACAAGTGTATAGCACTAAATGTAATCTTTCAATCCAAAGTACCCAGAAATTTTTCAACTTATTCGGAACATTTCCCAGAAACTTTAGACTGATCAAATGATGAATACTTTAACAACTGTTATCTTTCCAAATAGGTATGGAATGTTTCGCAGTATCATAAATTATGAAAAAGGAATTCAAAAATGTAAAATAAAATAGTTAAACTAACTAACTATTCATTAGACCAATGAGGTCATATTCGGATCCCCTTTATCAGACGGACATGCAATACCGTTAATTCTGACTGAAAATTTTTACTATCTCTAATGAATTAAATTTACTTTTGTCATCACGTTAGGTACAAAGCGAAAGTAACCCATACATTGATGCTTTAAATTTACCATATTTCGAGGGTTACACCTGCAATGTTGACGTTATATATATACATGTGTGTTGGTTGTCTTGTTGTACTGTGTTATTAAAGTGCCATTTTAGACCCATACTTTATACAGCGTATAATGTGGTGGTTTAACAGTTTACTTTAAATAGATGAATATCTAATAATTACATATCGGTCAGCATCGAGTAAATGCATCAGTGAACAGAGTTATCATTTTCGTATGTTATATGTTATGACTGATGATATGATATTAACACCACACATCTCATACATCGGCAGTAATGTGAATGAAACTAATCGTGTTATACATATTATAGCATTGATTGATTTGTGATTAACGTATCCTTGTCAATTACGATTGTAGTCGAGAACACCTGCCACGTGCGAGGTTCGTACTTATAACATCAGTGTTGAAAGGTTAGTGATATAGTAGTTGAAATAGTTAGTCCACTAGGCCACCGACCTTAGAGCTTTTAAAATGCGAAATACTAAATGTATCAATTTTGACTATTAGCGCTTATCCAACAATATATGCAACATATTTATCGATCGAGTCTCGAAGACTGTCAGACAATCCGTATACAATTTCTTCATTCCTGACGTATTCCACATTTTATAACTCATTCAAGTACATGGACTCTTAGCCACACCAATAAGCAACTAACTGTTGTTAATGAATAATTTCAAGAGGGTGTGTATGACGACTGAAACCAATAGCTTTGCACCGTAATGTGAAGCAATAAAGAAAAAAAAAGCGTCAATTTAAAAACCTTTAAGTTAAAAGTGATCAGTCTATTTATTCCGAGATAACACACTAACGGTACCAATTGTACCGTTAGAAAGAAGGAAGATGTGGCAGACCGAACTGTGGTACATCTATCTACATTCATGAAGAAAAATATTTAAATTCTAAAAGGGAATGACATTTATCATAAATGATGATATTGATTGTTTCATCCAGAATTAATATACAATATACAATGCAATGGCTGTAATGAAAATTGCAATGTACAAAGTGGACAAATTAAGAAAAGAGTTACAGTGCACAAACAACAAATCAGTCAGTCAGAACACTTCAAAATATAGTTGTGAGTGACTCGATTTTAGTCAGATCACCATCATTCATCAGACATTATTTTCAATTTTGCAAGATGTGTCTAGTTCTGCCAATTGCTACTAGATATAAAACAAAGATACCACACGTATAATGTCTTCTGACTGAGACTTTGAAATTACAAAGCAGAAGATGCTGACCCTTGTATTATGGCCTGTTTTCACATTCTTGCTGTACTAACTGTTTGTAGTTTGATTTATGATATTTTAACTCCATTCAAATGCAACTTCAATTGATATCAACATATCCACGATCATCAATGTTGTACTGATTTTACTTGTTTATTCCGTATACATTTTTTGCGGCGATGCAAGGCGTCATTTTAGGATACAGTA